CTCTGGTTAGCTCAATTTTGTTGTTTTTTCACTATTGGTAAGTAAGCAGTGTTCCTTTTCTATGTTCTTACACTTAATTGCAAAGTTCAGTTTCACATGGAATTTGTGGTGAAACTTGTCTGTGATTTGTTTCTTGTAAATATGGGCATAATGTTGGACAAAGTGAAATCAGTGAGAGTTTGGGATGAGTTAATACTTGAGAATGAAAAGGTGAGTCTAAATTCTACGTTGTTTAGAAATAAGAAAACAAAACATTATATAAAATTGAAAATTTGTTAACTCATTCTCTTGCTATTTTGAATAAAAAAATAAAAGAATAAAACATCATAAAATATTTAAATTTATTAATTAATTATCTTAAAATTTTAAATAAAAAATTATGTTAATTCTTTATATAATTAGATTTCACTCTAATATTGTATTTCTTTAAGGACTCTTCCTTCCTACACCCAACATTAATATCTTCCAAAGATATTTCTTTTCCATCATGGTGAAAGGATGTTGGGTAGATTTTGTTATGCAATATGAATATAATAGTAATACCACAAAGTGCATGGTTCACATCAAGAACCAGCTCACTATAGAGAAAAAGAAGTGAACCATGGGTCCATTGAGTAAAAAGTCACATGTCTATGTTTATACATTTTATCGTAGAAAAATATATTTAGATACACATAATTATTTTACATTTATTTGATTTTTTTTTTACTTTTTTTTTAAACTATAAAAATTTACTCTTTCAGAACCATTTTATGGTACGTCAAAATATGTATATCTAAGTTGGAAGCTCCATAAATTGTCAGTGTTCTTTTCGGGGTTGCCAAGGATTTGTAGATGTCAAGTTGTGCTTTATTGAAACTATCACAACACGAGTGGGAATAGTGGAAAATTCTTTGCATTCAAATCGCAGTCACTAGGACCGTTTGTCGTGTGACAAATTGAAGAGCGACTTCATGCAAGATTCACGATCATTAAACGAGTTTTGGACACGCTCTGGACCATTCATTCAGCTGTGTCTGTATCCAACTACAATTTTTAAAGGGATTATTTTTAAGAACACTGAAATTTTGTTTTCATTTTAATTGGAAATAAATTAAGAAGTTAAAAATATATATTATACTTTAAATAATAATACATTAACTTTTACATGTAAGAGACATTAACTTTGACATGTAAGGTAAATTTAAATGAAATTATACTATATAAAATATACCGATTAGAGTTAATGATCATGGGTAATTAACAGGTATATTAGCAGATATTAATGAGTCAAATTTTCTTACACTCTACAATTGATTATCGATTTCATTGTCTAAAAATATTGTGCGTTAATGGTTAATCAATGTGTATGACTACCACAAGCATGTCCAGGTAAAATAATTACCTCTTTATAAAACATATATGACTTAGCGTCAGAGTGTCTTGTGTAGGTAAACAACCCTTTGGAGTGGATTGCGTTCTCGGAGTGGATTGGATAATCGAAAAAGAGAAGAGCAAGAAGGACGACCGATCCTGGGAGAATTCAACCGAAACAGCAATATTATTTTTAATATTTTATTACTTATTTTCTTTTAAGTTTATTAATAATGTTAATATTTCATTATTTTTTTATTGTTTTTTACTATATTTTAAATTTTATCATGTAAAAGTTGTTTAGAAGTAGAAAAGTTATTAAAAGGCTTTCATTTTATAATTTTTTTATTTTAAATTTTAAATGCAAATTTTGTTAGTACATTTTTATAGTACTTTGTAATTTCAAATTTTAAATTCAAACTTGGTTACCACATATATTGAATTTTAAATTTCTCCTTGACAATTTTAAGTTTGGAAAAAAATTAAAATTGAAATGGTTACTTATTTTTTTATCTTTAAAAGTTTAAATAATTTATAGTTTTAGATTTTTAATAATAGACATTTTATTGAAATTATTATTTAAATTTTACATAATTGCATTATAAATTTAAACGAAATATTATTTCTAATGATTTACTATTTAGTTTATTAACAATGTCATTATTTAACGATTTATTTATTGTTTTATATCATTATTTAACTTTTATTATTATATTAATAATAATATAAGAGTTTAGAAAATCGTATTTTGGAATTCACCGTACGTTTAGAATAATGAGACTTCATTATTTTAATAATAGAATTTGTTTAATAGTGTTATTATGTGCATGCTAAAATAATGGTTGGTTCTCACTGGAATCTAATCATGGTTGACAATAATACAAGGAGGATTTGTGGTAGTTAATATTATGTATTTATATAAGGATTATGTATTGGAAGTTATCCTATTACTCTAGTAATCATCCAATCTCAAGTAGGAAATGGTAAAATATATGGTGAGAGGTGTAGAAAGTCCTAATTTAGAGGTTTTATATTGGTCAAAGATTATTAACAACTAACCTTATGTGTGACATCTTGAGTGGGTGAGTTGTTTCACCACCACAAGTGTATAACTCAACATAGTCTGTTATCAATATATGTATCCGAATGATCGAGTTTAGTATGAGTATTTGTATGTGCTAGAGTTGTTGGTATTAATGAGTTATATGTATTAATATCTCTATACTTGTTATATGATTACTTGTTGTGCATATTAGATTACCCTTTCTTGTCTTTCTCTTGGATATGTGTTCTCTTTATTTGTAATGATCACCTTAATGATGTAAGAAAATGATGATGTGGTAATGGATCTCGTTCAGGAATATGGTAGTGGTGCAATATAGGGTTACGATGATCTAGTCCTGTATAAGTTCTCTTTTGAAAAGAATTATTATGCTTTTGATCAATGTAATAATATCTAGTTGTATATGACCATTGTGTTTATATGTTTTTGTATTATATATTTAAGATCATTGTAATACCATTATGGATGTATTTCTTTGTGTGCTTTCTAAAATATTGTATGTGTGATGTTTCTTTTATTACTTCTATACTACTAAAATAAGATATTACATTTATTACATCATTGTATTATGATATTATTATTAAATATTATGACGTGTTTATAGTAAACTTTATTCTTATATATTAAATTAGTTGAAGACTTTGAAAGTTAGATTGTACTCATATTTTCAATAATTTGATAATTTCATTCCCGCTATTGCCTTCGTTTGTTGGAAGCATTTGCATGTTTGGAGATGATGAAAAGATTACAAGTGCTTCTACAAATGAATTTCCATGTTCAGTGTCATCCATTCAAACCATTTTCACCAAACATGACCCTTCTCTCTGTCTTTATCTTTTAGCCAATACCATCATTATTATATTTATGTCTTCAATCATCTTCTTCACCATCAAACCGTCACAACACTTCATATCAAAACTCAAATCTCATATCCAACCCACAAACAACATAAACAAACATTTTAGAAATTAGGGATGAAATTACAATGTAAAAGTTACAGATGATGAATAACTGAATGCAATTATATGCATGCTACCATAAGGAAGAGTGTAGTTTCACAATAATACCTCTTAACAAAGATATATAAAGCATGCAAGCATAAGGGCACCAGATATGAAACAAGAGTTTTTAACACTACTATTAGCTAAATTTTATTAGACATGTAATCATTTTATAAATCTCACTTTTAAAACTTAGCGATTGGAAATCCAATTACTGAAAAACTATCTTTAAGAGAAAAACACTACAAAAAAAACTATGCAAAAAGGAGAGAACGTTTGATAATTATAACGGGAAACTCAAGGATTCAACTACAAATTAGCACCGTTAATTATGTTCTCAACATCACATACAATGAACACTTATAAATTATTCTTCTTATGTTCTTGAACACAACATATATAGAAAGATAAACATCACTCCAACAATAATTACAAAGGAATAAGAATTTCTCAACAATAATAATTTTGTGTTATTTTGAAGATTGTGTTTAGTTGATCATTTAGATTTTGTTTTTTTGTGATAGTTTAAAGTGTATATGTTATAGATACGTTTTTCTTGGAACAACCACAAAGAAAAATTGGTGATAAATGAAGTTGAGTATGTACATTGGTTTCTGCAAACTGATGTGAACATGTTTTTTCCGTTCTCTCATGTTCTTCTGAGTGTCCACACTGTCTCAAATTTTTTGCTATATATAAACTATGACAAATGTTGACCTAAAGATACTCGTTGTAAAGACCCTAATAAATCAATTGAATGTAAATTTATTTCAGGAGACCCTTAACTCGTGCATGTAAACTTCTATTTGGAAGTTTTCATTAAATGTAAATTTATTTTATTCAACCATTTTGCGTGTGAACTTCCTTCCAATTTTCAAATTTTCAAAACCAACAAACCACGGAACTTCGTTTTCTTTAAGGAACTAAAAATGTCACTTACCAATAAATCTTATCAATAGCTAAAATTATACAACCATATTTTCTTTTAACCTGTCACTTCCGAAGAAAACAGTGTATCTGTCATTATTGAAAAAAAAAAATCTATCTCTCTCTTAATCTAAATGTCTAGTATCAAACGTGGATCTGATTGTATGTTCTAAAACAACAGAAAATTGCCATTTTTTAATTATTATACCCTCTTAAAAAAGAGAGAAGTTATATATACAACACCAAATATATAAATAAGAGATAAAAGATATTTATTACAAATAATCTTAATATAAATTACGAAAATAATATATTTCTCCTTAATTTGAACAGTATTACATTTAACGACACATATATGCATTTATAAAGAACAAATATTTCATCATCCACAAAGCCCCAAAAGAAACCTAATTACATAATTACATTAAATCAAATATACAGAAGTAAAACCAGTGCGCTGGAAGCTAAGTGGCTGTTGCATAGTATATGGTAGCACATTGTTTTATTAATAAAATATTTTCAATAGCTTTTTTTTCAAAAAAAAAATGATAAATGCAAGCAAGGCTCAAAGGGGTATGGATGAAACAGTTAATTCCAGTTATTGCCCAAATATTGATTTGCGTGACTTAATTCATTGTTAGTTTGAGAAGGCAAAATCATTAATAAATCATAGCTTTCCTCAAAGTTAACCTGTACATAACATTATTAATTGATACAAAATTGGGTATATACCAGCATGTTAACTGTATGCCTGACAATGTCGATTTCACTGACTGAAAACTATGTGATCAACAAACATTGCGAATTTGCTATTAGCAGGTGACTGACTGTAAGGTCACTTAGTCACCAGCTTCTTACTAGCCCAGGCGCCCAACTTTTCCAATCCAACCTTCCAATAGACTTGTTTCTTAAGCTGACCATGTCTTTGAATTCAAAAACCTTCTTCAGGTAATTGTTCCCTTGTTTCGCTGGTTCAGGTTCAGTTTCCTCTACTTCTTTTTCTTCTCTAGCGGTTACAGCAGCTTGGGGAAACCCTTCATCCCGAGTATCTGTCTCAATAATAATGATTCCAAGAGACTCAACCACCTCACTCATTTTTGGGCGAGACTTCGGCTGTTTTGTGAGGCATTTGTTTGCCAGGATTGCAAGTTTATGGGCTGATTTGATGCAGTATTGCCCCTTAAGTCGAGGGTCTACAATATGATGGAACTTCCTAGGATCAGAAACATAAGATCTAACCCACTCTAAAAGCTTCTGTTCATTTTTAGGTAGGTTTCTCTCTACAGCTCTCCTCCCAGTGATAAGCTCGTAAAGAACTACACCAAAGCTCCACACATCACTCTTAGCAGTTAGCTTACCAGTCTGAACATACTCTGGTGCAGCATAACCTATGGTGCCAACAACCTTTGCAAAGAAACAAGTCATTTATTTTGCATAGCAGCAAAAATATCATGATCAAAAACAAAGACTCAGACTTCAGATCATCATTGTGGCTTTTCATAAATTGGACTTGTTCACATTGAAGAATGGTAAAATATAGTATAATTTGCTTAAAATAAGCAGCCAGAAGACACGTTGATCTGATTTTATAATGCAAATGTTTTAATTTCCAAACAATATTATGTATAGTTGTAGAATATAATGAATTTTCGCTAGAGTACAGACAAATTCTTACTGCTGTTGAAACATAGCCGGACCCTTCTGAAGGTCCTTGCCTAGCCAGTCCAAAATCAGAAAGCTTTGCATTGAAGTTTTCATCCAGCAGGATGTTGGACGTCTTAAAATCCCGAAATATTAGCTGCACCAGTAATAGTGGCAATCATCAATAGTGAGTTTCAACAAAAATTCTTTATGGTTTTTAGCAGATGTGAAATGCTGTAAAAGATATTTATCCACATTAGAAATTATCCACAAATATATATAAAAAAAAATTAAGTCATGCTTGTAAACCACTATTAATCCTAAAAAAAGCCGAAGAGATCTAAGTCACAAAAATTTTCAATCTTCACAACTCTTTTATATTTCTACTTCACCATAAGTCCTAAACAAAAGAAAAAACAAATCAACTCTCAGCATTTGCTTTACTAACAAAAAATTCATATGAAAGACACTTAAAAAGCCAATGGTTGCACGAATCCAGATCAACGATTTCCTACTCAGTGTGCTTGTATATTTGGTACACCCGTATACAAATCTGCCCACCTAATAATCCTAATTGCCTTCATGTTACATTCTCCTTTACTTTCAATCCAAACAATCCTCATCTCTCAAACTTGATTCCACACCAAAACTAAACCCATTGTTATGAAGCAACAACCATTCACTTCAGCAACCCATGACAAAAATTCTCTAACAAGTATCCTATTCCATAAAAGATATCCATCCATCCGCCACATATATGATATATATCACTAATGAATTCGTAAAATAAATAAACACAGTCCAACAACAAGTACCCATTTCTTTTCAATTTAACCACAAAGACCCACATGTTTGTTTTGAAAGAAAATCACATAAATGACGACACGACAAGGCAAAGTCACAATCCATCACAAATAGAGTACCTGAAAATCCATTTCTTCGTGAAGATAAGCCAAACCGCGAGCCGCATCTTGCGCAATCCTCAACCTGGTCCCCCAAGGCAGAACCGTGGAAGGGACTCGTGCCAAGAGATGCTCCTCCAAGCTCTTATTCGGCATAAACTCATAAACCAGAAGCCTCTGGATCCCTCTTTCATCGTCCTCAGCGCAGTACCCTACCAACCGCACCAGATTAGGATGCTTCACCACTCCCAACAAATTCACCTCGTTGATCCACTCCTTGTGCCCCTGCTGCCCGTTGCGGTTCAGCTGCTTGATCGCCACCTCCTTTTCCTCCACCACGCCGCGGTACACGGACCCAAACCCCCCCTCGCCAACTAGGAGGGCGCGGTTGAACCCGCGCGTGGCAAACTTCAGCGCTGAGAATGGGAAGATGCGGAGGTCGTTGGCCCGGCGCTGCACCAGGAAGTGATGGAAGTCCACCGTATCGGAGAATTCCGTGGAGTCGGAGTCGAAGTTGGAGCGGCTGCGCGTGTCCATGAGACTGAGCGAACGCGCCCACGACACACGCGAAGTGGAACCGCGCGAACTCGGTGCCGCTGCCACGCAATCTTCGTCCTCTGCGTTGGAGAAGTAGAAGCACTTCATTTGCGGAAATCAATGAACAAACCCAAAAACATTCCAAATTTCGCACTCTCCTCCCTTTCAACGTTTCATTGTTTTCAGACTCAGAATCAAGAAGACAAAGACGAAGAAAACGAACAATAATAATAAAATGTTTTTTTTTTCTCTCTCTCTCTGTGATACAATGTTTAATTATTTCTCATAAAATTTACTTAATTTATTATGCTAATTGCATCATGTAAAAAGCCGTGACAAATGCAACATTAAATATATTTATTTATTACATTGTCATATTTAATGTATTACTTTAAAAAAAACTGACAAAATATTCAATTCACGTGTAACCGAGGCGTTTTAAAAGAGGAAACTGAAACTTTCAATTATGTTGAAATAATAAATACCTAAAATATATTTAAACCGAATGAAATGTAATTATAGTCCAACTAAAGTTGGATTTAGATTATTTAAAGATCTCCAGCTTAATCAATGAAAATAATATAGCTAAAAAGAAATACTTTACTAAAAAAGAAAGTATACAAAATTTTAAAAGAAGAATACTCTCACACTTACCTTTTGTTATCTGTTTTATTTGTGATTTTTAAAATTGTTTGAAAATAAAATAAAAAAATAAAATGATTGTCTTGATTTCGGTAAAAAGAAAACCTTAAAACGACAATTTATGCAAAGTAATGTAACTAACAAAACCAATAAAAATGTTTTTTCTTTAACCTGCCTGAACTTGTGACATTATACATATTGTTGGACGAGTCAAATTACTTTATTCAAAGAATAATATTTATATTGAAAAATAATAAAAGCTTTGTACATCTAACATTGCGGAAAATGTCACGTAATGTGTCTTTTAAAGAAAACGATGCGTTTTAGGTAAACAAATTCTGTGTTATTATCTTTATCATATATGAGTGATGGAATAAATTATATAGGACCCAATTATGCTATTCACATTTTTTGAAAAATATTGTTTTTCATAGATTCATTATTTATTTATTCAATAAGATAATAATAAATGTGCAGTGAAAATTTATAGTGACGAACACTAAAATGAGAAAGAGATTATTTGTGGTGGAATGACAAAGAAAATGAAACTATAACAAAAGGGAAAGTATATATTATAAGAGAAAGTGTCTTTATTTTTGTTTGTTTTCTTTGATTCCTTGTGGACTAAGAATCCAAGTCTTTAACATTACTTTAATATATAGTCAATTTTAAATTACATTGTACACATGTTGCTTTAATATTTAAATTCATCATTTCTTTTAGTAGGTAATTGGAATAAATTCATCATTTGTAATAATAAATATTACATATCGAAACTAAAATAAATAAAAAAATCATAAAGTTGGAGTATTTATATGAGAAAATCTTCTCGTTATAAAGTTACAACAATCGTGAGAATTTTTTCAATAAAAAATTGTTTTTAAGAAAGTATACTATCAGCTACAGCAACTTAAAATAATTTTAGATACTTATTTACTCATAAATTATAATGTATTGCTATTTTATTATAATTGTTTTAAAATATATATGTCCTGTAAAAAAATATTATGTTTTTTCTGCTATGATAGTCATGTTTCGGAACATGGAACACGAGAGTCCGAATTTTGTGGTGACCGTTGATGCGTTGTGGCTGCTGTCGTTGGTGGGCGACTCGAGAGCCATCGGATCAGAATTCATCATCGCATTCAGCGGACACCATTGTGGTGGGGCCCATTTGAAACTAAAGTGTGCTGAGAAATTTTGCTTTTTCTTGACGCAGTCTTCTCTTATCTATTAAGTCCTTCAAATGGTGTCATTATTTCTTCAAATGCGAAAACTACTACCACTTCTACTATTCTGAATATTTTATTCTTAAAAAATAACTTAAAAGGTTGTTTTAAAAGTGAAGAAAAAAAAAACTCAAGTTATCAAACAAGTATTATAGAATTAATGTATTGACTTTTCAAAGTAGAAAAGTGCAATACTCACAGTCTGAGAGTAATATAAAAGTATAAGCCGCCATGGGAGGGAGTAAATGAAAGTCTAATACAATGTTCTGCTCAACATGTTTTTTTTTTTCTTCATGAAGCACAGTTGCACAATCCAGCATTCTATCAGTGAAAGTTAATAATACTGTGTTTGGTGTCATGATGTAGGGACAGAAGGTGATTATAGAAATGGAGGTAATTAAGGGTTGTGATTAGCAATGACCCCAATATAATTTGACTTAAACTTCAAGCGTACTTCTGCTTAATCATAATCACCATATAGTGATTGTAACTGATAACTAAATATGTTGTTTTCTTTTAAGAAAGTTCACATCAATTAGATAATATCAATTTATCATAAGTTAATTTAAATCTTTATTTGTAAACTGTTTTTTAATTTGAAATAAATGTAAAATTCACTTTTTAATACTTAATATAATATTTTTTGTTTTATTTTCTTAAAAATCAATTTATAGATAAGGATTTATTTTCTATATAATATAAATTAATCTTATTTATAATTAAGTGAGATTTTAAATACATGTGCATGTTGAGACACGTGGCTTATCTTATCAGTTATGAAATAAATTCTGATAGTATATTAGATCGTCTTATAAAATTGTGTTTACAAAATGAGAGATTTATGACACGAATTTGTATAAATTTTTACTCTAAAGTTTTTTAATGTTGAAGTTTTTTATGAGTTTTAGATATACCGTTTGGTTTAGTTGGAAATGAAAGCTTTTTGTTTCGGTGGGGTTTGTGAGACCGAGACACTAACCTTCGACTTGTGTGCTCCGCTTGTACGTTCCAGTTTAGATCGACACTTTGGGCAGGAGGGGGAGGTACCTGCAAAAGGCACTCCGACGCTCAAGTTATGAGAGTTTAATGAATTGGACTATATTTTATTATCATAGGTCCCCGTCCCTTTACCTGGGCATTAACTCTATACTTCTAGGGTTTATAGCAATTAAGCTCATTAATTCATATTTGATATGACAATAAATCCAATAATACTTGCTAACATATCTGCTAATTGTCCATTAATATCATATTCTTGTGCAATATGACCTGTCAATCAGTCATAAATAGCGTATATTCGCATTTAATATGGCCATTAAACGTATTTACCTTTCCTGATTGGTGTATCTGACAGCCGGTCAATCACGAGGTATAGTACACTTTTTAAGATAGCTCAAACTCGTGTTTTTTATTATGAGATTTTCTTATAAAATGTGAAATTTTGAAAGGAGAAATAATATGAGTATATGTATATGTCTCGTTTGTAATCTGTTATTGTAGGAGTATAGGTTGCACTTACAATGATTATAATTGATTTTCACAGTATTCGATAGGTATTAGGTTCGGTGGATTATTTTCAAGGAAATTTAGGGTTGCATTGGCATTCTTTAAGCCCAATATCTAACTACTATTGGAACTTATTAGAATAGTGGAGATTTTTTTTTCTGGAGTGTCACTCTACCACCACCAAATGTTTCCTGCATCACCATATTTAATTTATTCTTCTTATAAATTTTCACTCACATTCACCTACTTCATTAATTACATATTAATGGTCCCCTTATAAAAGAATGCACCCGACAACCGAACTTGCAGATGAAAATCAGCTCTCCCTTTCTTCTTCCTCTATAATTGTTTCATTGTCCTCTCTGTGAGAATATGGTGGTGTTGTGAGTGTGTATGTGGGTTGTGCTTGGTGGGAGGTTGCAAGTGGTGCAAGGAACCAATGGTGACAGAGCTTGGTGTTTATGGTGGTGCTTATCGGAAGCAGAAGAGGAAGCTTCGTCGCAGGTGTGCAAAAGGAGTTATGGTAATCCTTCAACAGATGTGATAATCTTTTAATAGATATCAACATCCGTTGAAGGGAAAACAGATGTTGATATATGTTTCCCCTTCCACGAATGTTGATATCTGTTGACGAATTATCACATTCGTTGAAGGATTATCATAACTTCATTTTATTATTTTAGTTTATTGTTTATAATTTTAGATTAATCAAATAAAACAGATTTAAATAATCAATTAAATAATAAAATATAATTAAAGTAAAACAAAAATCAATTTAATTAAATTAATAATAATTATTTTATTAAATAAAATTAAATTAATTTACATATAATTACGTAATATATTATAAAAAAACAATAAACCTTCAACGTGGCCACGTCCGCATATCTGTTTAACTAATCAAATAAAACAAATTTAAATAATCAATAAAATAATAATATGTAATTAAAGTAAAACAAAAATAAATTTAATTAAATTAAATTAATAATAATTATTTCATAAAATAAAATAAAATTAATTTATATATAATTACATAACAAATTAAAAAAAATAATATCTATATATTAATTTAAAATACAATAAATTAATAAACTTAAAATAAAAATAACAACCTCCATGGATGTGGCATATCGTGATGTGGCATATCTATTTAATGAAATACCACATATTTAAATAATTAAATAAATAATAATTCGATAACTAAATTAAAAAAAGTAATTAAACTAACAAATTAAAATAAAAACTAAATTTAAATACAATCTATATAGAAATTTAAAATAAATTAAATTAATAAACTAAAAGAAACCACTTAGGCCACAACGGATGTCCCATATCCGTTTGACCTTGCTCAACAGATACACACACGAATCACCACCAACGAACCACCACCGTACCAACATTGCCACACCACTGCACCACAAACAGTCACATCACCACACCACGAACGAATATGGAGAAAATGGGTTGACACCAAACAGATCTGGAGTGGATGAATGAGAAAGAGAGCAAAATGAGATGGAGTGGGAAGAAACGAATCTCAGCAAGCAAAAGAGAGAAGAGAGTGAGAGCGGAGGGTGGGACTGCGCGAGAGTGAAAATGATGTATGATTTAGGGTTTCAGAAAAAAAAAGTAAATAAATAAGATTAAAGTAAAAAAAGTTAAAGCTTAAAGGATAATTTTATAATTAAAAAATTGTGGGGAGATGAAGGGAGTATTTGGTGGTGATGGAGGGAGCAACACTCTTCTTCCAGCATTCAATTATTTTCTTTCAGGCCCAAAATAAATTTATATTTGGGTGTTTCACCCACCCTGCACCTCCAAATTTCGCAAAATGCCCATATTAACTTGTAAT